CACCAACATGGAGCATTAAGAGCAATGGTAATGCGGAAGAAGTTCCGCTGGTACAATGTGCTAGTTCATTAGATAGATTCATTGGAATCATGTAAGAAGTGCTAAGATTTGTGCGTCTGCTGAAAACAAAGGGTATAAGCGGCTTCGAAAGTCAAGCCGTGAAGGCTTACATATTCCGATGCCTACTGCTGAAGAAAGGTCTAGGGCTTTAGAGCTGATATTAAATAAAGGCAAGAGCTGGCATATCTAAAAGAGATTCGTGAATTGTCCAGGGACGCGCCGATGCCTGATGGAGGCAAAACTGAATCATTCAAGCCAACGTTAGATAGAATTGGCCTTCTACGCGTAGGTGGTGGAATTGGAAGATCAGAAATTATGAAATAAAGCACCCGGTAATTATTCTATCTGGTTCCAGCTTGAGTCAGTTAGTTACAAGTAAAGCGCATCAGCCCATTAGCATGGTGTTGTTCAGATGATGATGCAATACATTCGACATCGTTTTTGGATGCCGCGCTTACGGATTGAGCTTAGGAAATTCACGCATAAGTGCGTCACATGTGCTAGATTCGCCAAGAGGATAGGTGAGCAGCTAATGGCTCACTTGCCATCAGAACGGTTGCAAGTGGGGAAACCATTTCTACACTCAGGTGTGGATTATGCGCGAAATCAGTCAGCTAGATAAGAATAGAGATTGGTAGTAAAATGGGGGTCGCCATATTTGTGTGCTTAAAAACAAGAGATGTGTATATTGATATGATCACTGATCTAAGTGTTAGAGCCTTTATAGCTTGTTATGATCGATTCATTGCAAGGCGTGGTCGACGTGAAAAGATGTACAGCGAAAATAGAACATCTTTTTTGGTGCTTGGAAAGATATTGCTAGAGCTTATGAGCGCTGGAAAGCAAGTGATATGTTTTCTGAGCTAATGCTGAAGGGGACTGAATGGCATTTTATGACCCCAGCTACACCACATCAAAGTGGTATTTACGAGGCTCCCTAAAGTCAATAAAACACTATTTTACGCGTGTTATAGGGCAAAAGTGTCTGGAATATGAGCAATTTCTATCGTTTCTAGCGCAGATAGAAGCAATCTTGAACTCGTGCCCGCTATATCCATTGAGCGATGATCCTTTGGACGTGCAAGCCCTAACGTCGGGCTATTTTCTGGTAGGTGAACCGCTGGTTCTCCCTCCTCCATTCGATATAGCGCCACAACCAGGCACCAAAGGGATGATGTGACAGGTAATAAGATCAACGGAAATAAGGTCAATTGACTTTATTTCCCAGCCTGGTGCGTCACACTACGCCGCGCCGCGCACAAGATAGAAGGTTTCTGCTGTGTTTTGGCATTAACTTGTCTGCAGTAAAAATCATAGAATTTGTGTTTCAAAAGTGTGTGAAAACCAATCAATTAACTGACATGGTCTCGGTTCCGATATTAAGTATCCAACAATTGTTTATACCCGCATTTTGGCACATTGGCTTGAATGTGCCATCTAATAAATAGTGTCGTCGTTCTCCTTAAAGTGTGTTTGCATTGTTCAACTTTGCGTTCAACATTTGCGTTCAACTCAGCGCAGGGT